CAGCAGCTGTGAGTGATAAAACACAGGTTTGAAGAGCGAATTCGAATGCGTGTGCCTACTTCTAGCTTGATGGGCTATTGTTTCTCGTGAGGCACTACCTCCAGCCTGATGTCACACGCACAATCTTGTGACAGGGGAGAGAAGGAACCTGGCCCACATTTGTGTGTCGCCAAACACGGCCACTTTAGCCATGCTTACGTGATGCCACACTAAGAAATGCAGTTAACGTAAGACGACTGGAACTTACCAGTAAGCAACGTTCTTATACAACTCTCCCAATCGCAAAGCTTTTGATCACCTCGATGGCCTTGTGCAATCACTCTGTAGTATGTGTATGGTGCAAATGCATCAAGAGTAATTTGTTCACTTTTCGCACTGGTGTTCCCTTCCTTCATGCCATCCGAGGGACAGACATTCGAGTCCACTCAACACTTTGGCAGACAAACTGTGCCTTATCCCACCGCACAATAAGTCCCATAATAACCCACGTATAACCAACCGATACTTGGAAGAATACAGTCTGCACCTACAGAAGATGCACGTTGCGAGCATTTCGCATTACAAGGTGCATTCAATGAGGTTCATTGGAAGCACTTCGTGTCAGCCACGAAAGTGCGGTGGATGACGTGCTTGTTCCACTTGAGACACAGCGAATTGAGAGTTGTTGCAATGGAGGCCACTCCAATCACAACGCATCAAAGCGAAAAGACGTCGGTGCGTTGTGTGCTGCGAGAGGCACAACTTTTCAGCAGTCATGTCAGTTTGGCTTGAAGGTGCAACTTGGCAGTCCACTTTGAATGGAGCACTGCTTTATTTGCACTTATTCACGGAGACACATGCGTGTGTGCGAGCACACATTTTACCATCTCATAATGTGATTTTACGCGAACTTTTGGCGACTCATCGAAAAGTCTACTCGCCACTCCATGTTTGGCAATGACCACTCCGTAGTGGCACACGAATGGAAGCACTGATGCTGCCACCAGTTTCGCCATCACTCCACCCAATGTGTGCTACATTCACGCACTTCTCCAACAAATGCTCATGAAAAGTATCACGTGTTATCTCGGTCAGTCGTTTGGGCAGAGGGTAAGTGCTTATCATTGGGCTGTGAGCACAGGAAGCGGCAAATGAAGGGAATTCGTGAAGGTGACAGCCACTGCCCTTCTCAAAACGCAAAATGACAGATGTCGTTTTAAGCGAAGCAATAGCAGGCAACTCATCATTCTCTGGCATAACGAAGGCAGCCAACAAAGTCAGCCAGAGGTGGTGCGCCACCCTCAACCAACGACTCTCCTTCCATTCCACATAACACGACACTTTTCTCGCAATCATCCGCGCGCATACCAGTGCATGAGTTGCTACCACTCCACTTCTCTGTGCATGCGTTGTGTGTAGTGCCTTGCTTGTGGGATTGCTCCCAGCGTGGGCTGCACAGACACGAGTCACTCGAGGCAGCATTCAGCCCACACTGACGCGATGCAACATCCAGTTGACTTTAAAGCCAAGTTGGTGCCGACTCTGACCATTCCTCCTCTGACCCTTCATCATCCTACCAGCTTTCTTCTGCTGACTCCCATACGATAGTTACTACGGCGTATGAGGTATGCTAGCATTTGTAACCCCATTGACACGTCTGGCCCAGCCTTAATTAGAGGCGTCTAATGCAAGGTTTCTCGTTGTTGGCAAGACTGACAAACGAAGAATGCCGTAGCGATGTTCAGTGTGGGTGCTTCACGCCCCATTTGGCTCATCTTCGCGGTCACGCACACACATCGCCACGTCGATGACATTAGGAGAAGGGATTGAGATGCATTTTGACAAGGCGATTTCGCACCGACACTTTCTAAATGAAGTGTGACTTATCCAAATGCAGTATGCAAGGTGGAAACCAGCCTGACCACGTCCAATTATACGCGTTCACTTTTAGCCGTCTGCTTGGATGGTGATAGGGAGGAAAGGAGAAAGGTAAGGTAAAGCCATTGGAACAGGCTTGCCTAAATTGGTTGGGAGGAAGGCTAAACAATCCAAATAGCTAAACATGCAGGGTACCTGATAGAAGCGTACACTTTCCACTTCTCCTCCCAGCAAACGAAGGGAAGACAATCTTCACGCGGCGTCATTGCCGTCATTCATATTACCAATTTGTGCACACTGATACTGGAACAGAAACACATTTCATCACTTCCACGGAAGAAAACAAAACAACCATGGTGCTGTCATAATGGACTAACCTTGCCTTAAACCGCAAACCCGCACAACGCGTTTAATGTGTTATTGGCACAGTGGAGGGTTCACATGGTTTATGAGACAGCACTCATCCACCAGATGGGCGCTCAGTCATGAACTAATGAGAGCACGTCGCGCTGCACTATTCGACGTACCTCCACAGTTGACGAGCAATGAAGAGACACGCTACCCTGACCTGTAGAGTGAGAAATGTGTGTGGACGAAGCAGTGCAACCTAATTGGTTTCCTCGATGTGTTGAATTGATAGAAACGATAAGGCGTGTTGGTATGAGGTGGTGTGGAAAATTCTTGCCAGTAGCCATACTCATCCACCTGCCAATGTTTGAAACCTCAAAATTGCCTTTTCACAAACGCTATAATCATTTACTCTGACATTAACATTCCTCTCAGGAAAGGCAGCTGCATTAGTATTGTATTGCAGTAGAATAGACATTTCCCACCATCTAATTCTCATGTTACGCCACGCTGCCCAATCGGCATGCGTAATGATTTGATCCGAGAGGTGGTCTAAACCTGTCTCACGGAAGCGACACATTTGCCATTTCTATTGGTCAGTTTGCTTGGCACTCTGGCCAATCAGCTCAGTGCACCGCTGGAGTCCAACCAATGATTGCGTTGCCACCGTCATCACTGCACCACTCATCGAACAGTAGTATGTGTGCACTTATCAAGCATGACGTAGCACCACCACCACTCACCCTTT